TATCTCAGAATCTTTATACAGGGTCACTATGAATTGGAGTCAACTAGATGGCAGTTGGTTTGTGGCTTTTTTTGGTTACGTATTAGTTTTCTATTGTGTATACCAAACCACTTCAAAATGTAGTAGCTAAAAACAACTGCTTGAGTTAAAAAAAAACAGTTGTTTTAAGCCACTGAGTTTTGGAGTGGTTTGGTATACACAATGTGGGTTGGCAAATTGGACTGGGTTTAGCTGGGCCATTCTTCTGATTGTCACTCATGTGGTTGTAGTCATCTGATGGTTCAACTAGGGATCAATGGATTAATATAGAGACACTTAGCTGTCTGCTGTTTGGGCCAAAAGCCTCAAACAGGTTAGTCTGCACTTCTTCACATAGTGGCAGTGCTCCAAGATAATGAGAGGAGAAACTGGAAGGTCTTTTGAGGACTAAACTCAGAAGCCACATGTTACTTCTACCACATCTGCTCGCCAAAACAAGTTGCAAGGCCAACTCTGATGGGAGGAGCTGCAAAGAATTTGTGGCTATTTAAAATCCATCACACCCTGAGATGATGTTAGCTTGAACCAAAGTGGTGGGTTGTTGTTGTTGTTAAGTGCCGTCAAGTCGATTCCATCCCATAGCAACCCTGTATAGGGTTTCCAAGGAGAAGCTGGTGAGCTTGAACCACCGATCTTGCAGTTCAAACGACTTTGCAGTTTGACACATTAGCCCACAGAGCCACACCAGGACTCCAAAGTGGTGGGCAGCGAGATGTTAATATGTTTTTATTTCTAAGATATTAAGTAGTCAGAATTGACAGGACTTGGGGATTGTTCTTAAACACAGAAGAAGGGAGAAGTTACAAATGACTCCTAAATCCTCAACTTGAGTAATTGGTGAATAGTAGTGCTCAGCACTTCGAGAGAAACGATGAGGAGCACGTTTAGGAGAAAGATAATACATCCAGTGTGAGTCATGTCAAAGATGAGGTAGGTGTCTTTCAGACAGGTGTAAACGGCAGGAGGCAGGTGGATATACAGGTCTGGCTTGAGGAGAAGTCTGACTAGGGATACCAGTTTGGGAATCTGAAGTTACTTTAAGCCTAAAGCATGATAGCATCTCCTAGGGATTCTGCATGCCCAGAGCAGGAGCATCTTGAGGACAGGGATCTGGTGACTCAACCCTATCAGTGCAGTTCTTCAGGTTAAATCAGTCAACTCTGATTGAGGGCTGCTGGGTTGTGACTGGGAGGAGGGATTAAGTTTGTGGGTGAGCTCTCAGCTCTGAACTAAAACCAGTAGTGCAGGTGGCATGTAGGCAGATTCCCAGTTTCTGCCAGGAGGAAGTCTCCCAACAACAGGCCACTGATTCAGAAGGTAATAAAGGAGCATCAACAGGAGCTAGAGATTCCCATTCGGAATGCTGTGGAGGGAATTCTACCCCTGGGTTGGAAGATAGACCCAGGGGCCAGCCTTAGTCTTTGAAGACAAACGTCCTTCTGTGCCCACCTCCCACTCCCACCGCAGGTGCCCAATTTTAAGAAAGTCTACAAGTCCTCATTAAAGACAGTTCTGTTGGGAGCTAAGCAGTGCAGGAGATACTAGGCTACAAAATAAATTTTGGTTAACATCCCTGCTAACCAAAATTGCACTCATTCAATAAGTCTCTACTGTGTACCAAATACTGCCAGGAATTCAGAGAGATCTAGGCTCTAGTCTAGAAGCAATGTGGTACTAATTGTAAAGACCTTTTTAAAAACCTTAGAGCTATTAGTTTCTGAAACTGTCTTCCTCATTGGATCTCAAACTAGTATTGAGATGTCATTTCGATAAGTGCCTGGCTTTAAAGGTTTGACGGAAGAAAGAATTAGAGGAGTAGAGGACTGGGGAGGTGTCCAAAAGAGGAGAACTCTGCCTGGTGTAATCGGGAAAAACTCCAAAGAAATAATTGTTGTTGTTGTTATGTGCCATTGAGTCGGTTCCGACCCATAGCGACCCTGTATGTTTCCGAGGGTGTAAATCTTTACGGGAGTAGAAAGCCTCATCTTTCTCCCGCGGTGCAGCTGGTAGTTTCGAACCGCTGACCTTAAGGTTCGCAGCCCGATTCGTAACCACTACGCTACCAGAGCTCCTTACAACCCCATTTATCTTGGTAAATAACTTAAAAGATAACATTTATTAGTGTTTGTTTTTTCGTGCTTGGCACAATTGTATCTGCTTTTATTGGATTATCTAGGTTCTTCCTAGGAAGCAGCAAGGGTTGAGACACTTCCCTCCTCTTTTCTGTACCTCATTACCTCACTGTGACTGTAAGAAAGTGGGGAGGGGCGCTCTAGGATCCACTTGTCAAGCGGCCGGAACTACAGTTTGGGGCCCAGCGAGGACGCCCGGATCGTTTTGTTCGTGACTCCCGCCCTAGCAACGCGCGCCTCGTTGCTGGGGGCGGAGGCGCTAGAGTCTGGGAGCGTTTAGGCTGCGGATTAGCATCGGCTGGTTGATCACCTTCGACCCCTGTCCATGCTGGCCTCAGCTCCCTACACGGCTCTCCTGCGGGTGGGTATGGAGCCCAATCGGGAAGGAAAAGTTGCAGCGGGCTGGCGGGTGGCAGAAGAGGTGAGAGTCCTCGCGCTCTCGGGGTTGCAGCCGCCCACCTGGCCGAAGTGGGGAGGGGATTCTTAGATCCGGATTTGGGTTGGATGGAGCTAGGTTCCCATCGTGAGGTTCTCATCCTCCTCCTCCATTTTATATA